CTTTCTGCAGCAGCCACTCAAGTCTGCAGCAGCCGTGCAGTTTAAGCATGCTAAATGTCTGCGTAACGGCTCCTCAGGGATGTCAGCACAGAGAGGAAATTATGCGAAAAATTAACCAAGAGCAGCCAAACAGCAGTAAAAGTGGTAGTAATTAAACTCTGATTTTAGGTTGATGAATCTAATGAACATGAATCTTTCACTCTTCATCTCTTGTTAAAATTGAATAATTGGCTGGAGGCACTAAGAAAAGTTACCGTGTTCGCATTTCAAATTAATTATTCAAATGGAGCAAATTAAGAAAGAAGTGGGCCATTTATATGTGGTCACTGTGAGCAAATGTTCACTTTTTTGACAGTGATGTTGTGCTGTAAAAAGATGTCAACATAACATTTTCACTGGGAATGGAAATAAGAAAACCACTTAATGCCAAATTTGCCTTTAATACTTTAATATCGGGTTTCTTATTCTTGCTATTGTGTCCCAAAGAGCTTAATTGGAGACTGAGTGAGTGCTATCTGTTTACATTCAGTGCGGGTTACCCTTTAGCGGCTCTGGTTTTAATTTTCTAAATACAGCTCTGGTAGAACAATGAGTAAAATAATCTCTGAAATCTGTTGACTGCAGATGTAATTATTTCTTCTTTTTTTCAAATCAGTGGGAACCAATTTTATTACAGAGATTGATTCATTTTGTCAGTGTGGCCTTTGAACAAATGAGAAATGGCAGCCACGATTCCAGTTGTGGCACATTTGATTAATACCACCGACCTGATTACATTGTGCTCGTGAGTTTATGTAATAATGACACCCCGCCTATAATCTCTCACTGTGTTTGCACAGATGAGATGAGTGTTTTTTCCTTCTCCTTCACTTTTGTGTTTCTGTAAACCTCATCCTGCCTTTGCTTCTTTTAGGCCTTAAGTGCTTTCCACAATAGACCTGCCACGGCTGATTGATCTTTGCTCCACGTAGCTCCATGACGTGTTTTTGTCCCTATCCCATAATAACAACGTCTAGTCGATGAGCATTGTGTATTAGACCTCGTATCCGGTTTTAACTAACAGGAAGTCGGGGACTCTTCACAAAACCTGCCTGTGATTTGAACCCGTACAGAGGAGATTTGTGATCTGAAAAACTAATTCCAGGGGTTAAAGGTCGGGCAACGATTGAGGTTACCATGAACAATGCTTTAAAATATTTATTCTGCCAGTATTAGGTATGTTAAAAATTGATTGGAAAAATAATCTGGCTTTTGCTTTGAAGGTCTCTCTGAATAACAGATGCTGTGGCTCCTTAGAATCCCACCTTCCAGAAGATGAAGGAATTTGGTCTGCAAATATTTGATCATTGTAACATTTAGTAGTGAATAGAATAGCTCTTCTGGGGGTTTTTTATACCATTTAACAAAAAAAAAGTATTACATATATTGTGAGATATATTTAAACATCTACACTGCATAATATACGCCTTGTCCTCATGGTGTTAGTTCTCCGATGAGCTGCCCCCCCCCCCACTCCAGGTGAACTAATGGACGGGTGTTTTCCAAGCTGATGAAGAGTATCCCTGAGGGGTAGTTTTAGTGGGTTATGTGGAAAAAAGTTAACTGCAAAAATATGTTTTTAGTGATCCTCTGTGTATAATGTATTTTCCATTATCCTCCCTATAGACCTGCAACGTCACAAACACTCGTCTGGTGCATGTTGGTCCCAGAAGCTTAAATATCGTACCAGTCCTTAAGATAGAGGTTTCCAGCATGAGTAGAATCAGTGCATAGGGGACAACTTTGACTTTTGACTGTATGTGATATCTGAGCTCCGCTCTCAGTGACACTATTTTGGTCGCTTTTAACAGAATAATACAACATAGATTCAAACTCGTTGAGCTTTCAAGTAGTTTGATGTGAACAGAAAGCTGCTTAATAAATGGAGCATTAACTTGTATTTTTTGTCAGAGTTAGGGCACAGAAATTTGAATATCAAATTTTCTGAAAAGGCCATTCATCCATTTTAAAGTTGGTATTATGTAAGTTTGTTTTTTTCCTGCTGATATTAATTCACTCTAAATATTACAACGAAATGAATTGAAATGCAGCTCGTCTGCCTTGAGGAGGTCCGAAATAAAAAAATAGTTTAGCCTTAAAGACAAAGAAAAATAATGTACGACAAATAAACATATAAGTAAATAAACAGGGTTAACGCTGCTTTTCAATGCAATCTTAATACTAAATTTCTGGAGTGGTCTTTAGGCGCACATTGGCCTTGATTCGGTCAATGATGTATGACTTGTAGTGTACATGTATACAAAGTGATGTGCATTTATTTGTCAGGAGCTGATGCCAGAGGATATGCCTCGTGTGCATGTCTAGTTGACGTTGCCTTGCAGCACATGATGTGCTCATTTGCGAAGGCATCATTACACCCAAGATAGAATGTCAGTCTCAGAAAGATGTTAAGTGTTGCACCAGCCTGAACACTGAAACTCATGAGTCATTAGCAGCCATCTTCATAAGCCAATAATACCAAACTGTCTGCTTTACTTTGCTTCATCTCTTCATATATGTACTTGATAAACACTCTGAACTAAGGGATAAAACAGCATGGCTAGATGGTACAAACAATTTGTTGGTGTGGACTATCAGTCATAGAAAATGGCCGTGATCGGCTTATGAAAAGTGTCTTACCATGTGCTATGTAAGTGTGTATGGGAATGTTATCTGGAACAACTTTAACGTTGGTGTTTGACTCCTCAACTCTGTGCCCGTGCCACTAAACAGCCATGATAGGAATGTGGAAGCTGGTTTGATGACTGCAAGCCATAGTAAGACTACGCAAAATTCCAAGCAGTAAGATGACCTCTAGAAAGATAATGGGCCTGCAGCCCTCTGTAGATGGACTCTACAACCTTCCAAGATCGACCGACATGGTCATGGGAAGAGATCTGGTTTTTGTAACAACAGTCTCCAATTGGACTTAGCAGCAGCACCTGTGTCACATTGTTAATATGACTACCAAGAAAGAAAAGTCAACTCAAAGTTTGATTATTCGTGTGGAGACGACGCCTCACAGAGTATCATTCTGGTATCTAGCTTGTAGAGATGTTGGCATGTTGATGAATTCTGATTAAATTGGGCAATTTAAAGTGTTGTGTGGCTGCCCAGTGCAATGCTTTGTCAATAAACCTTGGGTCCTGATCACTGAGTATTTCCAGGGCCTACCAACATCTACCACCCAACTGATTGTTGTTCCTAATGATATGTTATTTTGGATGGCAATAGCTGCCCCCAAAGGAGCATTTCACAGTTCCACAAACTTCTCAGGAGCACATGATAAAGATGCAGAGGTGCTGACCCAGTCTTCAAACATCCTAGATGTCAGGGTGATTGATTATCTGTGGGATGTTCCAGAAAAAAACTAATCTTATCCCTGGTGACTTGACCCTCAACCCACAGAAACTAAAGCATTCTCTGCCAAAGTCCTGTGGCTACATACACAAACCCCTTTGTAGTTTCAGGGCTAAAACTGAAGGGCAACAGGTCATCTTTAAAACTCAGTCATCATAAAAGTTTCAGCATGTGCAAAAGCCAGATTTCCACTCCCATCTTTGACCCTGAATAGGTGTAACCTTCACCCCAGCTAACTATTTACAAGAAAAGGCAAAACAATGGGTGCAATGGCACCTGCAATATCAAGACAGTCAGTGAAGTAGAGGAAAGTAAATCTGTCTTATTCCGTAAATTAGGGTCCAAAGTAAATAACCATGGTAAGAAATTCATGAGACAAAACAGAACATGCATCAGAGCTACAGAAGGAACTTTAACCACTGCTTTATCTTCAACAGAAGAATGATTTGCCTGCATACTGAGTCATTTGTCTTAACATGGAAGAGATGATGTTGATGAGAGAGGACGCAGCTGTGGCCATATAAGATTAATCTAAGGGCTAACAGGAATTTCTGTTATTTCAAAGCCAAACCAAGTCCTTCTCCAGGACTGCTCCAAAGCTCCTGCTCTGATGCTCCAGTGGATCAGAATTTGTTTCCGTTTTTTTACCACTGAGGTGCAAAAAAATATTGTAGTTTCTTAGTGTTCATGTAAATTTCACATACTGCATAAACCTATAAAAGTACAGACAAGCAGGGTTCTGGTGGTCTGCTCACTAAACATGCCAGACGGCAGTATCATTTTGTTTGTTTGCCTTTGTTATCTACATCTACATGAGGCAGAGAACCAAAAGCAGACTCACAGACCAAATACAGACTTTAAGAGGCAAGCAAACCAGTGTACAATAAACTTTTGCTTTTTAAGGACACTCAGTGACTAAATGTGCACAGTTATCTCCAAAAAACTGAAACATATGACCATTTTACATGATCTAAATTATCTTTTTTGCTTTGTACTTGAGCTCATTTATGTTGCAAACCTATAGATACTGCCCCTTTCTGTAGATTTTTAAGCAAAACTTGTCATAAAATCCCATCTTTTTTCTTTTTCAAAGGCTTTTTTGGAAATCCCTCTGAAAATTTGACATTTTTCTCAATGGTAATTTGCGGGCTCAGAAACTTCCAGATGGAAAGTATTTACTATATATTCAGACATATTCATTGTTAGCAAACCCCCTCAACCCGTCTCTATGTGTAAGCAAAGTCAGGGGATTCCTCTGTGTTAGCTAGTAGGGTATTTTTTACTCATTTCATTCAGCCGAAGAGTAAGCTGCCTCCTATCACTTATGCATGGTGCGATGCTCCGACGCACAGGGAGACTTTTAGGATAGATCTCCCAGTTAATCATGCACGGGATAGCACTCATTATTGGACAATTGCACATAGCTTACACACGATTCATCAGCTCATAACTTACCAGCTGCACAACAACACCCAAATGAATCATAATAATTGAGCAATGTAGTAACCTACAGTGAAAGCGTGCCTGATGGTCCATCGGCTGACTTGCCGTGCAGGTGGACGTAATGGAGAATAACTGCAAAGTGAAATTCATGCATGTGTGCACACTGAACAATTTATTCACCTGATGTGTATTTTTTCAGCTTAGCTTGACACAAATGTCTCGAACAGGAACGTTTCCGCACAAACACACAACAAAATGCCAGTAAAATTCAACATGTGTTACTTAAGTATTACAAACACGACAAACGTACCTGAATGGAGGATTGACATCCATTTCTAAAAGACAGTATGTACAGAGCTTTTTCTTGGTGTCACATTTAGATTTAACTGTCTCCATAGTGACTTGTGAGACAGTCATTTGGATTTCATACAGAACTTTTTGCCATCAGAAAGTAGAAAGACAGGATATGATTGTTTGTCATGAAACAGGACGTCTTTCCTCGGAATAGCTATTCATGTTGTAGCTTTAGAAGCACCTGCAACCCAAGCAAAAAACACAAAACAACACACCCCTGCCAGCCTGCTATTGTCTTTATGATATTCAGCATTTTTTCCTGTATTAACAATGTACAACACACCCTTCAACAATAAGAAATGTCCATCCTTTATCAAAAGTCAGAGAGTATTCTCTTTGTGGAGATTTTTGCTGTCTGAAGTTCATTTCCCATGACACAAAATCACAAAATGGTTATATGCTGTACAGTTCTGAAGATACGAACTCTGTGTGCAGAACAGAACATAAATACATTCATTTTTATCTTAAAAAAGCTGTTACGAGGAGCGTATTCAACACATTGTTTTGGCCACATGTTATGATCCTGAAACCTGCTCCACAAAAGCCTTTAGTGTCTGTACAAACGATGTGTTGCTGGATGTGGGGGGCTGTACAGATGCATGGGTGACGATCACAGGTAGATATGGAGCAACTTTGACTTGAATGAACCACTCAAATCAAACTGTGTGTTCATTAATGACAGATTTGCAACAAATAATAACTGAATTGTTATCAATAAAAATAAGACTTTTCTTAATTAAGTAATGAGTCCGTCCCTATTTCATTTTTTGGCTGAAAACTTTAAACGATGGTCTTGAAAAAAATATCCAGCTGCTCTGGATATAATGCATAGTGCTAATTACATACTTCCACTAGCTTTGAATATTTTCACTTATATTTCTTTATTTTTTTAAACAGAATTGAGTTAAGAACATGTCTAAAAATGGATAACAGGATGGAATGGTTAACAAAAGAAAGATAGAAAAAGGCAAGACTTTGTCCGATGCATGTAAAACCGACCAGTTTGTCCTTTGGCGTTGATTATTTCATTCCACAATAACTTAATGATAATGAGTCTTTCTGAAGATGACAGCACCTGACTGAGGCTGCAGTTCCGTCTCATAAAACCGCGCCCACTTCTGCCCTTAAACGCACAACAAAAGCGCTTCTCAGGCGGGTTACACTGGCACCGGTTTGGTTTTGAATAAAGTCGCCACACAGACCCACACGTGTATCTTAATGCTCGGTCAAAACCACAATGGTTATGTCTGAATTCACCTTATAATCCCATATGTCTTAAACCTCACTTGTTTTCCCCTCCTTTTTTTTGTCATGGTGCAAATCAAATAAAACAACCAACGAATCATTCTCCGCTCGTCCAGTGATTTTTTTTTTTTTTTCTGTTTTTTTTTTTACAGCAGTGTCGTGATGCGTGTTCGTGATGCGGCGCTCGTGCGAGAGGCTGTCGTCAGACGCTGGTTTCCTCCCCTTCCTCCGGATATGCGCAGTAGTGCACCCGCTCCTCCGGGCATGCGTCCTCGCCGGCGGCGGTGGCGGTGGCGGTGGTGGTGGTGGTGGAGTGACCGGTTCCCCGGTATGACCGTAAGGATAAGTGCAGGGTTTGTCTGCTCCGGGCGGGCCGGCTTGTCCCCGTCCCGTTGCTGTAGGACACCACCAGCCTGCGGTTCTCCTCGGGGGCGGCGGGGCGGGAGGGGCCGCCGTCAGCCCTGCGGAGGCCGGGCGAGTCGCAGTCGTCGTGGGTGTCGGGCAGGTTGCCCGTGGCGATGCTGCCGCTCTTGATGTGCGGCGTGTGGCTGTGCGTGTGGCGGTACTCCTCCTCGATGTCCTTCCCCAGCTTCCACCTCTTCCACTTCTTCAGCATCTCCGACTGCACCTGAGAGGAGATCGGAAAGCAGGGCGAGCAGATAGCGGTGACGAAGATTAAATTAGACACAAAGCGATTCGTTTGATGGATGGTCAATGCCAAACGGCTGCATTTAAAGGTTTCGATAGGCAGAGGGCTGGCCCTGTTTTTGCCCTTTGCCCATGATTAAAATGAAACTCAGGAGATGGGCCTTTTAGATATATATAAAAGAAACAGACAAATGAACGCTGACAGTAAAAAACAAAAGAATGTTCTTTACAAAGCTAAACAAAGGGACTGCAAACATCATGATTGCAAAAATCAAATAGCTCTGGTACAGAACACACAAGAAACAAACGCTCACCTCTTTATTGACAAAGCAGTACAGGATAGCAACCAGCAGGCCCTGCAATGAAAATGTGGGCAATTATAAACTGGTAAATAAAAAAAGACAATCACGTGTTCTCCAAAAATATCTTTCCCTTCAACATGTCCGTTATTATGGACATGCCGATGTATGTTTAGCATACTTTCACACATTCAGGGGCACCTAAGAGAGTCGCCTCAGGCTGCAATTTGAGGGCAAATAAAAATCCCTTTTTTAGCCACGCCTACCAATGTCTACCCCCAACACTTCACTCAAACCAGTCAAATGTGATGTGGACAGCTTGTTCTGCTAATATCCATTGTCTCATTAAACTCATGACCATTCAACTCTAAAGAATGTGGTAATCCGAATTGTTACCCAAAAGTATGAGTAAAGTATCCAAAAGACTTTCATCCAAAATATGTTCTCACAAGTGTCAATCCTGTAAACAGACTCTGGAACAAATGACACATGCGCCTCTCATCCAGCCGTCCTTCCTGCTGGTAATTTGAGTTATCTGCCTGCCTGAAAAGTGACATCTTTCTGATCACATGTTTCAAGGTGACAATTGTCGAGAAAGTGCCCGAAGAAGAGAATGATGCCATAATTGTAAGTGTTAGATAGGTGATACCCAGTGCCATCTTCTCTTTGTTAGGGTTTTCAGTTTTGCTTTTTAATGTCCTTTTTTAACCTCTCCTGCTTAACGCTTGGAAATGGCTGTGCTCGTTTTAGGACAAACCCAAAGAGGCGGTTCTGTTCATCGTCACATTTAGAGTGGAACAGGAGAAAGTGCTCCTGAGTTTTATTTCACAAAAATGGCTATGCAGACTTGATATTCCCTCAGTACTAGTTTTAGTCTATGCAAGTCTTGTTAACATATTCCTATTATTCATCCATTATTTTTCCAGGCAGAAAACATGAAAAGATAACATAGAAATCACCCAGGGTGCTTCTGGACATAAAGTAAAACTCCTATTTAGAAAACATAGAAAACTGCTTCATATGGAAATATTTCAGGGGAAAACAATTAAAAGAAAGGTCTTTCATATATTGTGGATATCAGACCTGGAAGGAGTTGAACAGAAGGTCACAAAAGAGACGAATGAGGCGAAGCATGGAGCCTTTAGGGACAGACTCATCAATGACAAAGGTGAAGAGGATGGCGTGAATCCCAAGCAGTGGGATGAGAGTCAAGGTGGACTTTGCCAGTCTGGACAGGAAGAGAAAAACAGAACCAGTGCAGAGTTTTAAAGAAAACCTTAAAGCACACAATGTTAGTTTCTGACGTTTGAAAGAGGTAACTGTTCAATTCCCCCATTTTCCCCACCGTCAACCCACAACCCATCCGTCATCATTGTGTTATATTTTCCTGCAAGTGGAAGTTACTTCTCTCACCTGAATTTGTAGTCAGTGTATCTCATCTGGTGAGCTCTAAGTTTAGACATCAGGATTTTAATTATTCGGATGAAAATGAAGAAGTTAATCTGAAATAAGGCAAAAGGCAGAGTTAAAATAAAAAAAGACAAAAAGAACATAAAACATTTTAAATAAATGGATTTATCATTTTGCATCTTCTACTGTAGTAGCTTGACTTTACACGCACACTCACACACACATTCACGGAAAAATAAATAAATTCGAAATAACAACTTACATCCTTACTACTAGTTTTCAAATCGCCACCTATTTGATTCTATTCTATCTATAAGTCTGCGGTTAAATGCATCGATTGGCACCGGCATTTAAAATGTTACAGTACACGCAAATTTGTGTCCTGAGAACACAAGTGACACTCATTATGTGATCTTAGGCAGGACACGCTGTGATGACAGAGAGCATCAATTACTGCTCCACTCAAGTTATTGGAGCTCCAAGTTTGGTGATGTGTGTAAGTTGTCGTTAAAGTTGTGTTTGGGTGAACGTGAACGCTGTTTCCCTCAGGTGAGAGTGAGCGGGAATGGTATTCGAGCTTTGGGACGGCTGGGATTTCCCTATGACATAAAACTTCCTGCCTGTTACACAACTGTACTGTACAGCCACTGTGAACGCCGTGAATAATTACGTTCTATATCGAGCGCTGAGTAACACACTCATGGAGAGCACGTATGCTTTCGCACGAGGTCACAAAAGTCTCGATTAATGGGTCCTTGTGTTTTTAAGGAGGTCCATTCATAATGCTGTTTGTCTCTCTGGGAGAAAGAGGCAGGAAACTGACGAGAGGAACTCCTCAAGTGTTTGTGTGCATGGACGTGCATGTGTGTGGCCTGGGAGTGTACGTCCATGTGTACAAGAAGACACCATTACTAATGGGGGAGTCACATATCTGAGCATGAATAATTAGGATTTCTGTGATTTGAGTTGGTTGTGACGATACAAAGCGATGTTTTCATTGCAAGTATTTGCGATCTTCTTCACACCCACAATATGTCAAAGGGCCAAGTGAGGTCAAAAGGTGGGCAAAAATAACTTTTTGTGTACCCATTTTTGTGCTGTATTTTCTCTGATAATCTGTACTGGTTATATATTCAGGTTTCCAGAAACAGACTGCCAGCCGGAGAACCAGGGATGAGCTGGGTGTTTTTTTTAATGAGGAGCTGACCAGTCTTTCAGTTTTTAAAATGTGGAAAAAAATATTAGAAATTAAGATAATGTGTTGGGACTGTTTGTGTAGTTTAAGTGAAAACCTTGTGCTGCTTCTATATGAAAATGACCCTGGTGAACATAATCTATTTTCACTCATCACATGTTTGTCAAACTGACCTTCACTGAATTTAAAGTAGTCTGTGAGTACAAATTGGTTTGCTGCACAGAATATTTGTTTTTACAACCTTTGGCTCCTCCAATATTCACTTGTGGAATGGCATGGAAGTGAGTGGAACTGAATGTTATCATAAATTTGACGGCAAAACCCTCTCAACACAATACTAGACATTGTGAGGAATGGCCATCCAGCCTAACATCTAGCATTCATTTTTCAGCCAAGGAATGGGTCTGTGTGGCAGTATTCAAGTGATAGATGGCATTGGTAAGTTTCATACATTTTTATTTGTCTTTACTAGCCAAGCCAGGCTCTATGAAGGGTCTTTACTTGACTTTCATTACTGCCCAGTCTGTTTTGAACATAATGACAAAATGGAAAAGACATTAAAATTATTGGTCAAGATATATACTTTCAGTTATCTGCTGCTGAGACGGCACTATGCAGGACACTTGTATTATAACACCATGGAGGAGTTTGATGTGCAGTTAATAACCATATTAATAACCATAGGGTAAAACCGAAGGTGTAAAAAAAAAAGCCTCATCATGAGAGATCTCAAACAACTATTGAAATGTTACAGTGAGGGATTTATTAGAAATGTGACCAGCCTTAGCCAAATTTAAGAAAGAAATTGCTGGTGTTTTTTTTTTTTTAACTAATCTTATGAGTTATCAGATAACAGAGTTTCAGGATGAGTGAATCACAGGTTTGCATGTACACTTTTCATCATATTTATGGCCATCTTTCTAGAAAGGTAGATGATGTGATGTAATAACTCCAAATTGTTTCTCCCTTAGGGCGAGACACAGAAACCCAAGTCAGCTTTACTTGTGCATAGCACAATTGAAAGTTAACATCCAAACAAACTTTTATTGGTGCAAACTTGAACATGGTTTAGCAACTCTGATGGGGCCGAAAAAGGAAGTGAAGATTGAGCCATCCATCCGAAGCAGCACTCTGTCTTTCCTCACTTCTACAAACAGAGACTCCCTGCATTTGCACATACTGTCACCCAGAAACAGATCTTTTTTTCTCTCCAACTTGATTATTTTCAGATTCTTTTTGTCTTGTTATATTGAAATCTGGTGGAATTTTGATTAACAATCAGGTAGCTAGTGTTCACTTCCCTCAGGTTGAGTGACAAATGACACAGGCTAAAAAGTATTGTTATCAAAAACGGCTTAAATTGCGTGTTTGTGTGGAAATTAAAGTAGTTTTGAAACTGGCAGCAGACAAATTGAAAAATAAATGATATGATAGAGAATAACGCTACATTATACAAAACTTGATGATGAAATAATATTGAACTGATTCTAGTTATTTAATTTTGATATTTAAACAGGCACCAGTTGAAACTGTACCGTCGTTTTTTAAATTCAGGATTAATTCAAACCTTTTATTTCTTGCAATTAAATCTATTTTGAAGACCTGCATTCCTATTCAAAGCAAAGTACAGTTATAAATGTTGGGATTCAATTTCCTTTTAATTATTCATATGTAAACTGAGAGAGGAGATGAAACTAGGAGCCAGACAGAGATCGAGAAGCACGCACACACACAGATACACACACACACACACACACACACACACATCGTCTTACCAAATACGCAAACAGTATGGGGGAACGGATGATCCACCAATAGCCCATGTTAATGTTTCTCTCCCAGCACCTAAAACATGAATTGCATACATTACTTTGCAAAGTGTTTGTTTGTTTTCTTCGAAACAGTTTGCATAAATCCATTCTCTATGATGAGAATACCTTCAGGTAAATCAAACAGAAAAGGAGTGATGAAAGCTGCAGCATTAAACCATTGTTTCATCGGATGTGAACTTACTCTTCATTTTCGTACAGATATTTCACTGTGATCCATGGCAACACAAATATCAGTGGTGCACCTGAGAATAACAAACAGGGCATGGGTTATTAACATGCTCCTGGTAGATAATTTGCTTCTACCTTTGATATGCTTTAGCTGTTTTATCACACAAGCAAGATTAAACACAATTGTGTTGTGCTTACACTACAAAAATCTCAAGGCAAAGAATTCTGCTCTTATGTGGCTTGCTTATTCAACACAGAAGGTCAAAAATGAAAATGCAGGGCACCTCTGTCTTTATCTTCTCTTTGATAAAAATGATCCTGATTTGTTTTTTGAATATTAAGAGTCTCATCAAGCTGCAGCACATTCACCTACTAACATCAACTAGTCAGTCTTCTTTTTATGCATTCATTGTCATGATAACTACGCATATCTTTGAACACCTGAAAAAGAGGCAGATGTGAAAAAACAAGATGTATAGATTCAGTTTCTGTTTCTGTGAAAAAAGAGCTTTTGACCATCATATATCACATGTCAAACAATAAATACCAAATATTGTGTTTGTAAAACTACTTTTCAATAGGTCCCGAGGATATACAAAATATAAAGAACACAAAAGATAGAAATAGTAGCTGATGGACTCTGTCGTACTGAGTGCAGTGTACCACAAAACCGTTGTGATGAGTAAACACATTGAGCAAAACGCTTTCTCCGTCACAGCTTTGTGGTTATGAATTTAATCTCAATGTTTTCGCTCTAAGGGGGATTTCTACAGATTTTTACACATCAAAGATTGTTTGCAGGTCTTTGGGAGTTCTTGTGTAGCGTGTGCAAACTAAATAAAATAAATAAAAGAATAAAAAGATATTTCAAAGCTGTGTGTGTCTCCTGAGCTGCCGTGTGATTGTGTAAGTTTCGAAAAAGTAAAAATGCATGCATACCTTATGAATATTTTAACTTTAAATTTAAACTTAAAGCTGTGACACAGAGTTTTTGCACATAGTTAAATTTGTGGAGCACATCTGATACAATTTAACGGAGAAGCAAAAATAGTTCAAGCCGGGTTGTGCAAAAACAAAAGAGCCTGATTCTCCAACGAAAGAAGAACAAATACATTATGAAATCCACCATACTGTCTAAAGTGGATCCTTGAGTTCCCCCTATAGCCTATAATGATACTTGTGTCACCTCCCTCTATCTAACAAAGCCCTCCCTCACAGAGCTTTTGGATTACTCCACTCACCATTGAGAGATATTTTATGATGGAGTTGGCTGGACATCACTGATAACTAGAATACTTGTGTCTTCATCTACAGGGCAAAGCCTTTTCAAAAAAATGTCATTAACTTGCGTTAGCATGACAGCAAAGAAAAGTCAAATAGGGGGAAAATACTCTAGTTAAAGGTAGTGACAGACATCAAAAAGTAAAAGGATTCATGGTCATTCTAAACAGCTAATAATTCGAATTGTTTCCAAATGATGACCATCTACTGATATTTATGTAGTGGGATGGGCTGATGGGCCAGATTCACAATGAATGCTTTGCCTTGAAACCAGCATAATGTAATAGAAAGTCTGTAAAAGACAGATAGAAAGAGCCTGTGTTTCATTTGTAAAAAAAATCTAATAAACCAAAGTAATGATTTATGTGACCTTCCAAACTTGCATCTGAGGAAAAAACTTTATTAGACTCTGCACACCTAAAACTCGAGCTCTGAAAAGGCTCCACGAAGGTCAAGTTACTGACAAAAGTTTATCTTTCAGCAGAAACTGTACAAACAACGCGTTTTTTATAATGTCTTGCTGATTAGACATTTGAGTTCTTTTGGATTCTTACCCCAGCCGATGGCCAGGTAAATGTAGAAGTACTTCTTCTCGCGGAAAACAGTGATGACCAGGAGGCTGTGAAGGTAGATGCCCTCCACCAGCAGCCAGTAATTGTTGGCCATCACGCTGTACTGCATCATCACCATGGCACCACGACACCAAGTCACAGCCTGATGCCCAACGGAAAAGACACAGGCGGAGTAGACACGATCTTTATCTGGCACTATTGCACCACAGGTATTTGATTCTGAAACACCCATATACATCTTACCCAATTCCCCATCAAACTGCACAGTAATACAGTACAAAAATCCCAGTATGTGCGAGATACCAGTTGCCTTTCAAGTTCATTTTTAATTTCTCATTTTAATAGTTTGTTTGATTTTAAGTTAAATATCACACCAAACATAGCATAGACGGAATAGGAGACTCCATTTGCTGATTTCTGTAGAACATCAGCCACACAGATGTGAGTGATCTAGACTCACACAATAAACTCATACCTTTTTTTTCTTATGAAGTTAGTTAGGCACTTTTAAAAAACCTCACCGGTATGTTGACCCAGGCTTGTGTCCCGGTGTTGCTGCTGCTCCTCGGGTCCAGTGTGAGGGTCAGAAGGGCGTCTTTGACAAGAATGGACACAGCTCTCAGGATGAAGGAGGCAAACAGGTTCATGTGGATGTTGTTCCTCATACAGTGCAGCTTCCTAATGCAGAGATGACAAGGAGAGTTTTCTTTGTTCTTGAGTTGTCAGCTTCACTTTTCAGCATCATTTAAATGAATCCCTACGTCTGTCTCTCACATTTGTTGTTTGTTGTCACCTAATAGAAGACTGCTATTATCTCTTTTTGGCTTTCACTTTCCTTTATTGTCATTCATCAGCCTTAACCTTTTTTTAAAAATACTATTTTTCAGATAATCTGTTTGCTTGCACGTCCTTACTTCTTTCCTGCTTCAATGTTCTTTCTTGCCCAAATTAAGTTAATTATTTCTTCCTTCTTTACATTGCTTATATTGTTATAATAGGAATGTAATACCTGAAGCTGATGAGAATTGCCAGGGCCAGCAGCAGAGCTCCCAGTGAGAGAGAGTAGCCCACTGTGTACATGATTCGTAACTGGCTGAGGATACGGCCATACTGCTGCTGCAAAGCCCAGAAAAAGAGACCATTACTTCCATGTACTGCATTCAACACAGACAAACACAACACTTGAGATTAGATTTGGGGCAAAATATGCACACAAAAAAAAGGGCTAAAGAGTATTTGAACAGATGGGAAGATTTGCACATGCAGTCATGTTACATTGTGTCAATGTTTCAAGTCAAAATGTTGCCTAACCATCTGCCGCTATAAGAAGATTCGAACAGGGCAAGACTTAAACGCGCAAGGCAAGCGGGCCCCGACACACACACACACACACGGTTTTAAACGTACACACACTCTGCTGTTTATGGACACACCTCACCGGGGTCGTCTTCACATTCACTGGTATTCTTTTGCCCCCATTTCCCGTCTTCGGTGCAGACTCTGTAGACCAGGCCCCGGTGAACTATCACACAGTGATATGCACATCGTGAGTAGCTGCTCAGACCTCACAACAGCAACGGCGATTACAACTAAAAGCTCAAATCTGCATTAAAAAATAAATAAATTAGAGCTGTAGATTTGACTGTGGTAAGTCATTTTGTGACAGAGGCTCAACTTTAGGTTGCAGGATCCACATTTTACAGCGGAAAGGTGTCATGTCAGACAGAGCTGTGTACCCAGACAGGTACAGCAGACGAGGACACACTCCCTGCTGGGTTACCAGTTGACAGGAGATAAGGGGAAACAAGTTGTCTTCACACCTGTTTACAGCTCTCAAACCAACTGGAGCACGATGACAAAAGTCAGAGAAGGAGCTGCAAGTTTGTTTTTGAACACTGCGAATTGTAATAACACAATGAGCTCCTGCGAGAGACACAAGCAGCTTTTTGAGGTGAGCTTCCTTCCCTTTCTGTGTCCGCACCTACTATATACCCCAACATACGCCGAGAATTCATACAGACCTTTGCGGTGCCAAGGTAGAAACCACGGGCACGAGACGTTGACAGTGGTTCCTGGAAGTCCATCGGGCCAGCAGGCATACAGATCAAACGTCCGGTTACACACCAACCCTGAAACGGACGGCAGATGTGTGAGTTTTTTTTTTTTTTCCCTTTTGGGGCCTGTGCAGACTCATTCACCAGACTCACCGGTGGCAGGGGGCGTGGCGTTTATGTAGTCCAGGCACTGGTCCTTGTAGCTGCTCCACTGTTCCTTCACAAGCTCCAGAGAGTTGGCCGAGGAAACCTGCAGCGGGGTGGACTCTGAGAGTGACCTTTTCATTCGTAATCACCACATTTAATTCTGCACACGAGGGAGAGACGGAGTGTGTGAGGCCGGGCGTTTGGTGGTACCTTCGTGCAGCTGCAGAGCATGAGCATGGCCAAGAGGAGACACACCTGGGACATCCCACTGATGCTGGGAGGATGGGGGTCGGTGGGGACCACAACACAAAGGAGGCCCAATACATGAGGCAGTCTCAGCCCTTTTTCACCCCGTGGCCTGTACATGCAACGTACGTGGAAAGGCTTGTTATGAGTGTGCTTCCTGTTTGTTGTTTAACAGATCACACTAAACACATTGGGGTTTCGGATTGGAGCTTATAAATAAAATCATCAGTGGTTTTATCACATTTACAGAAAATGTTTCAGAGCCGAAATTAAATGCTTGTGGCTCAACAATGTCAAATAGAAAAAAAAAGATCAGGACAAAACATTTTATTTGTGAGATATAACCTTAGATTACACTTTATACAGCATCGGTTTAAGTGTTTGAAATGCACAATATGAAACATGACACATCATTGTCACGTTCTAAACATATCTAACAGTAAAACAGTAGACAGGGCTACAAAAGCTGACAAAAAGTGCTAGTTCCAGCCAAATAAAGGTATAAGGAGAGGGCTACAAAGGAGTGATGAGAGTGAGGTCAGTAAGGTGAATCGAAAGAGTGTAACAGCTGTATTTTCACAGTAGAGATCAAGAGGAGAGCACCCCTCATCTTAGATGAGCTTGAGCCAAATGACGTGCACGCTCAAGAGCAGTTCAATGTGAGTCAGGCCCATCTATGAGATGTGAATTTTCTCATGCAAGTATCTGAATTTAAGCTGTGAAGCTATTAGTTTTCGCCATAGAATTCTTTGTTTTTTCTCACTCCCTGCTGACATTTTTTAATATAATTAAGAACATTCCAATCATTCTCTGAGGGTTGATCATGAGATGATTAAAGTATTTATTTATATACCTAATTGTGAGACATACTGTTTGCAATAATTACATCTATTTTTATTCATTTTAAACTAAAATAGATAAAGGCAGAGATTTGCATGTGTTTGCCAAGACGAATCAATTACCATTTGTATGAACTTGTTCAATTTTAGTCTGTGTGAACTGAACTTTGGACTTGCTCTTATAAAGTGTAAACTCGTACAACGTCGATGGTTATGAGATTTCGTTACAAATCAGGACTTCCTCTTCAAGTCCTTTGCTCTTACACATAACAAGAGGCTTTTCACGCCTCATTTAACACTACTTCAGGACAAAATACACCAACAGCCTCACACTTCATTCATAAGAAGAGCGTGTTTTATGAATGGAAAATGGGAGGGGTATAAACATTATCAACAGACCGACTGCTTAAAATATTCATTTAATTAATTCAATTATGTTGTTTTTGTGCCAGCATTTGACCAACATATAAAGTCACTGACCCTAACCCTAACGATTGATTTCCTGCCTCATTTGAGCAGTACATTTTCAGAAATGTTTGGTTCCAGTGTAGAGCCATCCATGTATTTGCTGTAGTTCAGCATGGCAATGATGAAACTTGTTGTATGAATCTGATATATCTCTATGGGGAAAGATCAGGTGAAAAATCTGAGCAATCATGTTGTTTTTTTTACAGACAACTTGATCACAAACACCAAACACAGTGACATGTCCAGATCAGGTTTTGTGTTGAGTTACCATAGAGACCCATGACAAGCCATCATGAAGTTAAAGTGCGTTTATGTGCTTATGTGCATGTAGAAACACACATTCATGGTGTCAAATTCTCCTACAGTGCCTATGGGTTTCATGACGGGTTCCTGTGGCACCAGCTGACCATCTCCACCCACGCAGTTGGAGAACAAAACGAAATCTGAAACGTTTCTGCAAAAAACACCTTGAGCATGGAAACATTTTTGGCTAAAACGTTTCAAATTCCATTCTATTCCAGTCCCTTAGCTCCTGACGCAGTGCATCTTCAGGCCGTCTGTGCCGTTTCTGCTCGGGCGTGTCTTCGATATGCCGAATCGCTCATACCCAGAAGACATCTAAGATAAACATCAATAGTCTGTCACAGATTAGCACCTTCATTTCAAGCAGAGCACAGTGAAAATAGCAAAAGCAGAGTACTGCTGCGTCCTGGACGTGTTATCTGCTGGTGTTACAGTAAATAATCTCTCTGTTTATGACCACATGCAGTTTTTATGGCTGAGCAGTAAAGCTGACCACACAGATAGAACATGGACAGATTACAAGTTCCTGTGGGGCTATTTGGTGCAAAATCTGAGGGATGAAACAAAAAGATTAAATTGAAAGAAAATATTCTGAGAGAACTATCTTATAGCTGTAATCTCAGTGGGAAAACCATGTGTGAGTCCTTATTAGAGTAGCCCATTCAGACAACCTAATAATGCAGCGAGATCACGTTTTTTTTTACACTTATGTGTATCAGTTCGGTTCATTTTGTGCCCGGAACTCTCAACAGAGCAATGAATATGTGTTAATCCACCGCTGGATTAATTTGTCACATATTTTTAGAATTCTAAATTCAGCATGGGATCTAGTGGTTTTAGGAAGATTAATACCGATAAGCTTTAAAATAAGACTGAAAGACAAGCTTGACTATTGTAGATTTTGCTCTTTTCATGAACTTGTTGACAACAGCAAAAAAAAAACATAATCTGTTTTATCCTTTAAGCCTCTGTTTGTGAGGAAAATAACCACTCCTTGTTTTACCCTTCAGTTCTTCGGGTACAGTACAGTACAGTTAAATGTTACATTATTTATTCATGTTTCCAGTGAAATGAAGTAAATTCACATGCAAGGGAAAGGACACTGTGTTTAAAAAAATTAGGCTTTCCTCTTGTTCCCATAATAAATTTTTGTCTGATGAAGCAAAAAATAGAAAATAATTTAAATAACAGAAGGTATTCACAAAAAAAATAACAAAAAAACGCAAGGTCAAAGCTTAGGTTCAGCCTCAGTTTGTTTCATATGTAATCTCTGTCATTAGAACGATCCTGGACACATAAATCACATGACCGCTCAGAGTCACTGGGTCACTGCTTAGACAGCAAAAAGACCAGATGTTTCTTTGCTCACACTAATGACATTAAACAATTAATCATTGAAGCACTTGAGTATGAAGCGGTCGCTGCAGCAGGAAACAGATAGCTGTGCATGTGTTTGACATAGATATATAAAAAAAACACCAGATGCCTTTTTAAATCTTCTAAAGGATTTAAGTCTACCAGCTATGAGACCTGCTTGTAAAGCTTCTCAGGTGCTAAAGCCAGGAGCGAACCAGGACTTGTGAGCTCCATTGCACACTGAGCCAGATGTTCTAGAGGGTTAAAAATCCTTTTGGCAGCAAGCTATCTGAGATGGCTTTATTGGGAAAAAAAACTGGGTTTAGAGTTCTAGTGATTCTGGGTCGTTTGTAGGTGTGATAGTAGCTTTGGGTGGATTTGTTTGAGAGATTTCTAATTGTTTTTTTCGGTGGCACAGACAATAAAAGGTATATTAAGTGTACAAATGTCTTATATGTGGTTAATTTCATCCTTGAACATAACCATATAAATTTGGAATGGTCTGCTAGAATGTGTATTTCTGTTTTTATCCAAACAGAATACTGAGTGAAGGACGGCCGCAGCGGGCAGTGCATTACCGTCTCAAACTGATAGCCTTATCGACCGCAGGGGCTGTCATTTCATTCCAGACGTACACACATGCATATAAATGTTTAAACATATATAGAACCAGGAAATGAAAATGCTGAGGAATGAGGATAACGGATTGCATGCTTTCAGGTTGTGTAAATCTTTGTTTTTATCACAGCCCTATAAAAGCCCCTTGTTGTTAGTAGGTAAGATTCACAAAAATGCCAAGATGTTTTTCTTTTTTTTATGGTATCTTCAAGGCTACCTTGATGATGTTGCATTTTAGAGCTGTCCCAGAAGGATTTCTGGAGATTTTCTTTGTAAGAAAAAAAAGAGCACACAAAATCCTAAATCGACACAGATGCTTCAAGGGTGTCTTTAGCTTCAGTGCTTTTGCAAACTTTTTTCTGAATGTAAATTTACCCGCAAAACTACATAAATCAGGCATTCTTTTGACATCCCCACACCATTCTCTTCCGTTTGATGCTTTCAAAGTGAGGGAACTCACTGTGAACTCTTCGGCGCGGTCGTCTTCTGAACAGCAGAGTTTAATCTATATTACGTCACAGTTTCACGGAAAAGGCTCAGCATTTGTGTCCCATAATCCTATGATGAATACAGTACTGCGTTATTAAGGAGCGAGACAATACAAGAGACGGAAAGGGAGAAAATATCTCCCGAACCTCTGATTTGCATGAGCACAATCAGCCTGCCTGATTCACATGTTTTTCTTTCGATATTCATGAACATTGAGCTATTCTTATAAAAACAAGCTTTGAATGAAGACAAATGAGTGATGATCACATTTGCTGTGTGTATATGTGTGTCTCTGTCGCTCTTTATGCAGTTCCATTGCTCAAGGGATATTTGCTGTAACAAAGTGTGTGTAAACTATCATTTGCATGGTGAATTTGCAACTCTTCCTCTCGCCTATTCTCATCTTTTTCTTTAGGGAGTTAAGACGTGAGAGCAAATAAGATTATTCAACCGTGGATTTTGTCTGCCTACAAAATATTGCCTTGTCAGTGTTCCAAGTCTTATTTTATGCCATGTAATCTTGAGGGATGACTCTCGGTCCTTAACTTATGAACCAACCCCAAACTAATTAGGAGCAAAACATGACATAATACATCTTAAAATGTATAGAAATGCCTTGTGAAATACCCCCGATGCCATGCTACTTAATGCAAAAGCAATTTAAGGACATAATCCCCACCAGACCCAAGCTGTTGCTACAGTGAGCAGCTCTTTGTCTAAGAAATATCTAATGAAACCAAGAGAAGTTCTGCGTCAAAAAAGTTCAGTCAGTTTTCTGCATTGACAGCTCCTGCTGTCAGGTTCAATGTTTAACCAGCTCCTGTTTCTGAAAGGTGCAGACTTTTTACACGGGGATCAAAAGAGGATTCGCACTTTACGTTTAACTCAGAACTTCAGACTAATTGACAACATTTACAGATGCAGTGCAATGTGAAGGAAGTCTCGATGAGGGAAAGTTGCGCGTGTTGTGAAGTCTTATAAACGATGTAAGCTTCAAGTGGACGTGTCTTGTTAGCTACAGCAGCTTTGCATTCCCCAACACAACCA